AACATTCAAATCTGCTGCCTGAGGCAATTGCAATCCTCTCACCCTACTTTATGTGGTGGCTATGGGTCTTACCCATAGTTACCACACACTCCAGTTTCCACATGCCTGGCAAAAGGTCTAAATGCAGTAAGAAGCCCTATCCTGTGTTTCATCTATGTATTTCTACTTGGACAAATTTTGAGCTTGAATTTTCCTTCTTTGCTTTTGTAGTTTGTACAGGTTCCATGTACTACACGCATGGAATGTAATACACTCCCCCGTGTCCCCAACTGGAAAAAAAGTGGGGAGGGGAAAAGATATGTTGGAAGAATTGCAACTTTGGCGATTCCTCTTTTAGTGCAGAGAAAAATGTCAAGAGATCTGCCCAGTCTCATTCCTGCCCGTGGAAAAGAAAAAAAAATCAGTTAAGGAATACGAAAAATGAATAAAAATGAAAATTAAAATGTAATACACTCCCCCGTGTCCCCAACTGGAAAAAAAGTGGGGAGGGGAAAAGATATGTTGGAAGAATTGCAACTTTGGCGATTCCTCTTTTAGTGCAGAGAAAAATGTCAAGAGATCTGCCCAGTCTCATTCCTGCCCGTGGAAAAGAAAAAAAAATCAGTTAAGGAATACGAAAAATGAATAAAAATGAAAATTAAAAACCACTTTCTTTCTTTCTTTCTTTCTTTCTTTCTTTCTTTCTTTCTTTCTTTCTTTATTTATTTATTTGGCCCTGCTCTGCATTCAAATTCTGCCCCAAGGAAAGCTTGCCATCAGCCCATACGAAGCTATGTACGGCCGTCCATTCATTGTGGCAGCCCTCTCCTCTGAGGAATCCCCATTGCCTAGGAAAGGGGGTGGCGGATTTGCTTAATTTTTTTTTGGGCATGTCCCGACTCTTACAGGAAACTCACAGCCAATTGCTGGAGAAAGACCTTGTGACGTTGGATCAACCTCTCCCACCCCTTTTCGCCCGGAGATTGGGTCTATAGGAAATCGTTGTCGGATTCCCCTCTCGCCCCAAAGTGGAAAGGGCTGCTGCAAGTGATTCTCACTACTCCCTCATGTGTGAAGGTTGAGGGCCACGCCGCTTGGATCCACTAAACTCACATCAAATGGGCTTCACAACCCCAGGACTTTCTTCCGCCTCCTCCTCCTCCTCCTCCTCAACCACAGCGGCCTCTCCGTGACCGGTGGGCTATCAAGGGTGTTGACGGTCTTTGTTTCTTGTTCCAGCAACCACCCCGTATCCCACCAGAAGAATAGAATCTAGTGGACTGTCCTGTTTATCATGGGATTCTCTGTTGCATGCTTTCTGCTTTTTGGACATTTTCTAAGGGGGGGTTACTTTTGAGGATAATACTATGGTGCGCCTGCACCAGGAGGTTGTTCAACGCGCCTCCCTACCTGACTCTTGGATTTGTACTTTCTTCCTGTTTCACGGCCGTCTGGGGCTTCCCTCCTGGCCCGTCCCTTTGGATCTTTCCAACTGGTGTAAAGGTAAAGGTTCCCCTTGACAATTTTTGTCCACTCGTGTTTGACTCTAGGGGGCGGTGCTCATCCCAGTTTCCAAGCCATAGAGCCAGCGTTTTGTCTGAAGACAATCTTCCGTGGTCACATGGCCAGTGCGGCTTAGACACGCAACGCTGTTACCTTCCCACCGAGGTGGTCCCTATTTATCTACTTGCATTTGCATGCTTTCGAACCGCTAGTAAATTGCAATGCATTTACTCCTGACAGCTTATTCTCCATCAAAAGCAGGAGTGACAGATTTGTTTACTGCTGTTATATTATATTCTGGAGTCAAGGGCTCCACGTATAAGACAAGGTTTGTCTCTCTTTTTTAATTAATAAGTTTGTCTCTCTTTTTAAATTAAGAAAAGAATCCCCAAGCCAGTATGTTGGCCAGTGGCTTTGACACAGAGCTCAAAAATCGTTGCTTCATTTCAGCAGAGTTGCTGTATTGCATTCTTTGGCATTCCACTGATTTGTGGGAAATATTTTTCATTTATTGATCTTTTCCTCCCCAGATAGTGACATTTCAATTCATATTTTTTACCACTTAAAGGGCAAAATGAGGTAGGCATTTCAGGCAACAGATTTATGTCATCAAAGAGGGATGAGAGGTTAGATATTTACTTGGTCATTTTGGTTTGGATTGAGTTTGTTTTTCTTTTTTTCTTTTTTCTTTTTTTAACTCCCAGGAATGGAGAGAGGACATTGTAGCATTTTCTATCACATTTGCCAAAATAACTTGGCTATCTCTTGACTTCGATGACTATGGGACAGTCTTCACTGTTCTACCTCTGGCCCCCAAATGTCTTGGCCATCCCTGCTGAAACAGTTTGTAGACACACCAAATACCTGTGGTTTGTTGTGCTTGCATGAAACAAAAAGATATTTATTTTTCCAGAAAGTAATGCAGGATATAGAATTTGGCTCTTGTTAGGCTCTGTTTCATCTGTGGTTTATTTAGGCTGCAATCCTGTCCATGCTTACCTGGGAATTGGTTCCTTGGCTCGCATTTGGCCTTACTTTGAAGTAGCCATGGCAAGGAACATGCTGTCAG